GCTCTCCCAGTCACTCACAGGCCGCAAGCTCCCCACGCCCCGGCTCGATCCCCAGCACGCATGCGCAAAAGGGGAGCGAGGTGAACGATCCGATCGCCCGAGGGGGAGGGGGCGCATGCGCATCAGCCTCTGGAGAGCAGCACTGGAATAGCCCCTCCCACTACCACCTGTGCAGGGAGAGGCCACGCCCCCCTCGCTCCTTGTCTCCTCCTCCTCCTGTTCCTTGTTCTTCCAGCTGAGCCAGGCAGTGGCTGGAGACTTAGTTGGTGTGGGGCAGGGGTGCCTTCCGTGTGGGAGTGCGGTGCTGTCCTCCCTGCTTCGGAGGGGCCAGCTGGAGCCCTTGGGGAGTCCAGCAGAAGGAGTGGGGAGCCGGTCCGTGTCTGACACTGGGGTAAGTGAGCAGACTGGCATACATTGCATTGCAATGGCTCGTTCCCTCCGCCCCCCGCCTTTCTCCCCTTTGCAGCAGCAGCTACAAGGACCTGTCTCCAAGGCAGCCTGGAAATGTGAATGTCTCCCTCTGTGTGTGTGTGTATCTCTCCTGCCCGTGGGAACGGCTCTCTCCTTCCCCGCTCCAGTATCGGTTTCCAATAGATGTGTGGGTGTGTGTGTCGCTTAGCCTGCCTGCCTCTGGAACAATGGAAGCGGGATTGCTAGGGAGGTGGCTCCTGCAAATGCCCCATTTACCTCTTGTGTGATTTCCCCCCGCACACACATAGACACACACACACTCCCCTTTACGGAGCCCAGCAGGGGATACAGGGGTATCCAGGGCTGCCCGCTGACACACACTAGCCTCATCGCAATAAACACAATGACTCATTCACCATTTTTGTAGCGATTTTTTTTCTTGTTTTACCTGGCCCAGCTCTGTCTCTCTGCAGTTCCCTGACTCTCCCCCAATGTCAGAAGCAAATCGCCAAGGAGGAAACGTTGTATTTTCATGCTATTGACGCTGGATGTTAGGATTGATCCAGGTTTCACTGTCAGGTTGTGTGTGTGTGTGTGTGAGAATCAAGATGGCAAGAGAAGGCTGAGTGCTTCTTTGTTGTTCTCCCCTTTTGGTGGGGTGGGGTGGGGTAGCGTGATGTGATGTTGGTTCATGGTGCTGCAGTCTCCTTCTCCCTGACAAAAGGTGTAGTTGAGGGGAGTTACTTCATGCTACAATCCCACTCCAGAGCGGCTCTTCTTTGTAGGTGGCTCTGCAGCAGCCCTTCAAACTGCAACACTATTCCTGGGAGAGAGGCCTGGAAGATCCAGGGCTTTGGAGGCAAAATCCACCATCATCCTCCTCAGTCAAAGTTGAATCCACCCTGCATCTTCAGGGAGCTAAAGAGCTTCCTTGCTTCTGTCCAGTAGCTCATTGTCTGTCAATCAGCCTGATCCTTTTAATGGTGCCGGACTGAAAAGGCTCTGAGGCAATATGAGTGCAGCTAACAAACAGCTGAGATCTCTGTCAGAGACCTGACTCAGAGGCACCAGAGATGCTTTCCTCTGTCTGGTTTGGACTCTATGGGGCAACTATTCTTCTCAGCCCAAGCAAGGGTGCAAGGAAATTATTGTACAGTTAAGCTAGATTACACCTGCTAAACCCTTTATCTGCTGCATACTGATCTCAGCTATTTACTTGCTTACTTCTTCTCCCCACCCCTTTTCTCTTCTCTCCTTTCACTAGTGCTTCACCACCACCACCTCCTCCTCACTTTCTTCCAGGGTGTGTTTCTCCTGCTGCTCTGCTATAAATAAAAAGTTGGCTTAAAAGCAAAGGAGGCAACCAGGAGAGCTGGGGTGTGAATCCTGAGCTGCTGCCATTCCTGTTTGTTGTGACTTGAGAATTGTGCATTTTAACCTCCCTCCTTCCATTAATGACAGCAACATTATCTAATTTTATTCCAAGTCATGGTGTGCTAATGCGGGTCATCATCTCATGGTGTTGACCTGCTCTCCCTGCCCCCCCTTCCCCCCCAAGGAATGAATGAGCTAATGTTAAGCCATGTACACTACCAGATATGTGCACAGTATTATGTATTATTAAATGGCGTGGAGTTGAAACCCAGCTTTGTTCAGATTTGTCATTCTGGATGCAATTTATTCTTTTGACATTGTAAACAAAATACTAAAAAACTTGAATTTGTAGTGAGCAATAAAAAAAAGTATTTAGGGGTCATCTCATGGCCCTTCTGGCCACACAGTATTGGAAAATGGCTTAATATTTTTAAAACGAAATTTTTGACACTGGAGTATAACATAACCTACATGTGTATGGTCTTTTGAAAGATAAGGGGGAGGTGTGGATGGGGAAGGGGGAGCTGTTGAAGACTGGGAGGGGCATGAATGGAGCATCCAAGAGCCTTGTGGGGCTCTTTGAACTTGGATGTGATTGGCTGTCAGTTTTGGTACTGATGGCATTGGTTCTGATGGCATTGGTTCTGAAGTTAGTGCCTTCTTAACAACAGTGTGTCTCCGTCCTACTAACAGGCTGAACTGTACAAGAAGTGTTGGGGCTTTGGCTTAAATTGCCTCTTTGATTTTATTGCCATCAACATTTAAAAATGTAAATCACATGGTATCCCCATTTATCTATGTACCAGTCCTTTCTGTGTGGAGATTCTAACTGTCAAGTATGTATTATTAACTAGTTCTCCAGCTCCATTAAAACAGAAAAATAACCCTGGCCTCAAAGAGCTTATAATTTAAGGCCCTCGTTCTAGTCAGATCCAAATGGGGATACCCTTGCACCTGCATGACTTGGGTTACAGTTTCAGGACTATATGTAGTGGGGTTAGAATGCATAAATATTTATGCATGTAATCAGTGGAACCTTACTTTTTTAGTTGCAGAAATATTGTAACATAAGAAACCATATTCCTGATGAAAAGCTGATGCCTATAGCTATACCATAGTACCCCCCTCGATGATAAATTGCAAAAGTGACGGTCATAGCATCTCCATATCACTTGGAGGGACCAAACCCAGTTGTGACTAGCGGGAGTCTAACGATGTGATGATGTACCTATGCCCCTGACAGCTAGTAAAATGAAAAAAGAGGCGGGTTGGACCATTTGTTGGTTGTGATAGTTGACATTTCCCTGCAGGAGGGCAAGGTGTCTGCTTCCCTTGAAGGAACAGCTGTTAGGCTTGGTCTCATTGGCTGGTGACCTCCTCCTAGTGACAGGCAAAAGGCCTGTACAATGCACTGTCCTTCCTGTCTCCGCACCCTGGACTTGGATGAAAGTGAGTGGGCTGAAGCTCAGCCCGGGTAGGACAGATGATGCTGGTGTGTCAGTAGTGTGGAGGTAGCTCTTGCCCCTTCACTGAGGGAGGTTTTCAATCTGTGGGTGCTTTTGGATCCCTGACTGACCACCATGGCTGCAGAATGAAAGAACCTTTTTTCATTTATCTCTGTTAAGGCATCTGTCTCTCTGTTGAGTACTCACCACAGTTATAGCATCGTAGGACTGAAAGGGACCTTGAGAGGTCATCTAGTCTAGTCCCCTGTACTCATGGCAGGACTAAATATTATCTAGACCATCCATGACAGGTGATTGGAATTTTTTTAAGAGCAGGTTAGACAATGATAGAGATTCCACAACCTCCCTCAGCAATTTGTTTCAGTGCTTAACCACCCTGACAACTAGGAAGTTTTTCCTAATGTCCAACCTAAACCGCACTTGCTGCAACTTAAGCCCATTTCTTCTTGTCCTGTCCTTAGACGTTAAGGAGAACAATTTTTCTCCCTCCTCCTTGTAACAACCTTTTATGTACTTGAAAATTGTTATCATGTCCCCCCTCAATCTTCTCTTTTCCAGACTAAACAAACCCAATTTTTCAATCTTCCCTCATAGGTCATGTTTCTAGACCTTTAATCATTTTTGTTGCTCTTCCCTGGACTTTCTGCAATTTGTCCACATCTTTCCTGAAATGTGGCGCCCAGACTGGACACAATACTCCAGTTGAAGCTGTGTCAGTGCGGAGTAGAGCGGAAGAATTACTTCTTGTGTCTTGCTTACAACACTCCTGCTAATACATCCCAGAATGATACTTGCTTTTTTTTGCAACAGTGTTACACTGTTGACTCCTATTTAGCTTGTGATCCACTATGACCCCCAGATCCCTTTCCGCAGTACTCCTCCTTAGGCAGTCATTCCCCATTTTGTATGTGTGCAACTGATTGTTCTTTCCTAAGTGGCGTACTTTGCATTTGTCCTTATTGAATTTCATTCTGTTTACTTCAAACCATTTCTTCAGTTTGTCCAGATCATTTTGAATTTTAATCCTATCCTCCAGAGCACTCCCAGCTTGGTATCATCCTCAGACTTTATAGGTGTACTCTCTATGCCATTATCTAAATCATTGATGAAGATGTTTAACAGAAACGGATCCAGAACTGATCCCTGTGGGACCCCCACTTGATATGCCCTTCCAGCTTGACTGTGAACCACTGGTTACTACTCTCTGGGAACGTTTTTCCAACAGTCATGGAAGCTATAGTAGCTCCATCTGGGCTGTATTTCCCTAGTTTATTTATCCTTGCCTCTGACTTTCTGGATGGGACTGTTCTACTGTGCTGTGCATGGGGCTGGCCTTGAAAGGACCGGCTGGCACAGAATGTAGCTGTATTAGCCAGAGGGGACATTACACCAGTGGCTTCCTCTTCCATTCCAAGTGCAATTTGAGATGTTGATATTACTCTATAAAGCTTGTGTGTGGAATGGATCATGGCCACCTAGGAGACCTGCCTCTCTTCCCCCAATGCACCATTGTGAAGACTGACAGCCAACTTGGAAGTGAGCCAAGATTGGGGGCATGCAGGCAGATAGGAGTGTCAGGCAGATATGTAGAGGTTAGGGGGAGGATAATAACACTTCTAGAGCCTCCAAGAGTCTTGAAGCACTTTGCAAGGTAGTTAAATATTATCCCTGTCTTGCAAGTGGGGAGACTGAGGCACAGGGGGTAAAGAACTTGCCCACAGTTGTACATCAAGACAGAGCCAGGGCTAAGACTCGCTCTGCTGTCCTTCAGTCCCCTTCTCCAACCACTAGGGCAGTGATACTCAGACTGAGGCTCACGAGCGGCAAGTGGCTCTTTAATGTGTCTCCTGCGGCTCTTTGCAACATGATATTAAAACACGGTGTGATTTTAATTATTAACCAAACAGGATACTTTTACTATGTTATTAACCAACGGTAGTTGTTAAAATATTAATACGTGCTCAGTCATTTTGCTGTGAGAATAATATATATAACAAAAATATTACCCGTCATACTATTTAAATACGAATATACAGTATTATAGTAAATGAATCAATAAATTCACACCACCGTGGCTCTTATGGGTAATATGGATTGATAATTTGGCTCCTGACCCACTAAGGTCTGAGTAAAAACAACA